GGGAATGGTTTGCCCGTTTCAAATCTGGCAGCACTAGCTTGGAAGATAAGCCAGGAAGAGGTCGACCATTAAATTTCGACAACCAGGCACTTTTGGCAGCCGTGGAAGAGGATGAAAGCTTGACAACTCGAATGCTGGCTGAAGACTTCAATGTGGACCATTCAACCACTGTTCGTTGTCTCAAAAAGCTAGGAAAGGTATGGAAATTGGCTGGATGGGTCCCTCATGAACTCTGACAACAATAAAGCTGAATGTGTCTGAATTTTCAAGCTCTGTTTCTGAAGAATCTTGTCAATGGGGATGAATCATGGCTTCAAAAGAAAAAAGGTCTGCATTTTGCCAGGAGTTTCACCAAAAGGAATACCAAAAAATGTGCACTGTATGAAGGCAATGAGATGTGTTTGACAGAAGCAGAATCATCCATTGGGAAATCATCTCAAACAGGATTTGTTATTGGTGGAATGATGACAATGAGCATCTACAGTGGTGGATTCCAGATAAAAATGGCAAGTGGCAATTGAACATCAACAGTGATGTCTGTCTGGCTCAACTTGACCACCTTCACACTGCAATTGAGATGAAAAGACCATGGAAAAAGAACCATATCATCTTCCACCACAATAATGTGGGCCCACAAATTGAGCATCATGTTGTCAAATGTATCGCCAATAAGGGATGGGAACTGCTTCCAGGTCCACCATATTCTCCCACAGAAGCACCTATGAACTACCACATCAATCAATTGCTGCCTCCAAGAACTGTGACTTATCTGCCTGTGGAATCAACCGCCTTCCAAGCAAATGGGAAGCAGTTATTGAAGTAGTTGGTGACTACTTGCTGGAATAATCATGTAAAAATGTTATTGTTGATTTGTTATGTTTCTTTTTTCATAATAAATATTGTTTAAAATGCCTGATAATTATGCACCAACCCAATATTAAATACTCTGGGCAACAAGAAAGAACTTTTTGTCAGCTATACTAAACTAAATTAAAGACACCGATTATGAATCTAAAGTCAGAATTGATGTAACATTTCAGTTTTTTTTTTTTTGCATACAGGTGTTACGGAATACCAAGGCCAGAATAGTCAGTGATTGGCTGAAGTGACTCATGGGCATGGTATTCTGACTGATTGACTGCCTTTGTTTGGGTTTTTTTAGATATGTCCAAAACAGCACAAATTCAACAGAGGGCTGCAATAATTATGAAGTGTTGATATGTTTCCCACACCCAAGGTTGAGAAACCAACTAAGACCATCCATGGAGGGACTCTGAGACTATGTATGACATGCTTTCACATGACATAATTCCCCCTGCTACCTCTTAGAATTCAAGCTGCTGCCACTCTCCTAATAAAATGAATATGAAAAGAAATCATCCTTTTTGTTGATACAATTTTATATCGTAGTGTGAGGACCCAGAGACGATGCAGAATGCAACACAGGTTTATGCCAAAGTCAGAAGGATGCCGAGAATGCTATGGATAGAGCACATAAGCAATGAAGAAAGGAAAATGGAAATGAAAAAGGACACTTAAAATCAGAGAGATCACTGAAATTTCTTGGGCACATAATGAGGGAGTGCTATGAGAATTTGACAACCACTGAACATAATTGAAAGCAAAAAGGTCAGAAGGAAGCAGCAGACCAGCTATCTGGCCAGCTTGTGTAAATGGATGGTGGAACAAGGTGTGGGAGTGATGGTAAAAATGTTACTAAGAATTACAATAAAGGATTTAGTTCAAAATTTTAACTTATATCACCTGATGAAGGCTGGAGCGTGCAATGGCAGAAATATCATGAATATGGAAATAAAGATGAGAACAGTTCGAATGATGTAAATAGTGTAAGTGATCAAACATTTTACATTTGCCATAACGGAAATTTTTCTTGAACACAAATGCTGACTGGTTGGTTAATTCAGCAACAGAAGTTGTTGGTTAATTAATGTTGTATGTAAATCTTAATTAATCAATAAAATGAACTAATAGGCTTGCTACTTTTTTCTTCTATATGCCATGTTACTACAGCACATGGGTAATAATTTTCCACAATTTCCTGTTCTTTGTAACTATTAGTAAATCTTGTCTTTTTTTTTTGTGATCTCTATTAATCCCCGTTCCATCAACCATTTATTAAAGCTTGTTAGGTAGGTTATTTGCCGCTTTCCTCTGTCTCTCTTGTCTTCAATTGTCTTCCTCATTAATTTCAACTCCCTTTCTGATGTCAAGTTTCAGTCAGTTATGTGCCAGTGTGATACACGCTTAGGTGATCACGTATCTTTCAATATATGACTGATGAGGCAGAGTTTTTCCTGCAGTAGGTTGACATTTCTTTCTGCGGTAGACCAGTTGCCATCCAAGGCTATAGAACCTGGTCTGTCCTGCTATTTATCCATGGCTAGAGGGAGAAGAAGAGAATTCATACCTTTAATGTAATGGATTCGACTGGAATTCAAACTTGGCTCTTCAATTCCTCAATCTGAGCTGCTATGCATTACTCCACCGTGCCACTGATGTCAAGTATAAGTGTCATTTTTGTTTCTATTTTTTCTAAAAATTTGTCATTACTCCTATGTTCTGTCCGTGCTATTCTCAGTATCCTTCTGTAGAACCATCTGTGAGGGACTTGGTTCACATGGGAGTCAAACAAGTAGATGCAATAAGTACTTTCTATTTTCATCAAATTTTGTTTTTTTTTTAGAAAACCCAACAGACCAATTACATTAAAAAAATGTTTCTTGGAAACAAACAGGTTAAATCTTTCAGTTAATTTTTATCTCAAAAATTTAAATGCTATCTCAACTGTTATCTTCTGTCTTAATTCCTGTTCTGTTATTGTTTTCACACTCAGTAGCCCATTGCATCTTAGTGGCTTTATTGCCTTGCTTGAGATGAAAAAAAGAAAAAAGTTTTCCCAAATCTCCCCCACCCCTGTTACCTTAAATACAAGGTTTTCAACTTGGTGATCATCAGGGAAAAAAAATATTGTTAGTTTTTTTTTTCCCCTATAATTTTATTGAATAAATTTTACTGAATTTTATTTTAATCATCAATAAATCTCAATTTTGTTCTATAGATTGAAGAAAGTGTAAATGTATCACATACATATCAAAGCATATGCCAAACATCTAAACCAGCAAAAATGCCTGGAGTAAGAAATGATACTGAGATTATACCAGATTCTAGCTGACTACTTGGCATACAGGCATTGGACAAACAAATTGGAATATGTCAAGAGTTTTTACACATTTTGCAATTCTTTATTGTGTATGATTATTTTCTGATTCCATAGTCTCAATGATTTTACATTCCCAAATTGTAGTATAAATGTATTTGCTCTAGTTTTTATTTTTTAGTATTTTTTTTTAAATTCTCATTTTTAAAAATTAATTTTCTAAACCATCCAGGAGCCTCCTTTTGACATTTGTTTACTTTATGGAAACACTAGTGTCTTCTTTTATGTGTCATGTCTCTTCATAATGTAGGTGATAATGGTTCTCCACAACTTCCTACCTTTTGTAGTTCTAAGAAATGTTTGCTCCCCACACTATCCCTCCTGTTCATGTTCTGTCATCCATTTACACACATAAGGTAGTTTAATTGCTGTTTCCCTCTACCTCACTTGCTTTCAATGTCCTCTGAGTGTCACATGTTCCAAATGCTCTTTCCCCACTGTATCCCAGTAATTTCAACTGTCTCTTTTTAATCCTAAGAAAAAGTATCCTTTTTGTTCCCATAAGCAATTTTAAAAAATAAATAAACTAACATATGGGTGTACCTCCAAAACTTGTAATGATCAGAGATAGGAAGCTGATCTCTCATCTGATCTTGCTCTAACTTCTCACTCAGGGAAAAACTAGCTGGTTACATTCAATGCCTCAAAGACCAAACTAGTTACATTCCATCATTGTCAATTGGACCCAGAACTAACTTTACCAGTCACAATGAATGGATGCCACTTGAGAGACTATTGAGCCTTAAAACTCATTCTTGACCTCAAGTGGAACTTGTACATACAATCCATCACTAAAGATTCAGAAATATCCTCTACCTTTATAAGAGCCAGATCAGGCCTAAAATTGAGTACTGTTGTTACATTTGGGCGGGAGCTGCCCAGTCCTCACTTTCCAGTCTCAATAAAATTCAAAAGTATCTCCACGTCCTTGTGAGTGACAAATTATTTTCCATCCTCCAACCTCTCTCTCAAAGGCAGAACATAGCAAGTGTCTCACTGCTCTATCGCTACTTCTATGAAAAGTGCTCAGATGAACTGCATTCCTTGGTTCTGCTCATTAGAATCTTCACATTCAGGACCTGCCACGCTACCCATATTGTAGCAAACCATCCACATTCCCTCTGTATCCCATTGGTGAGAAGTCCTGTGAACCACTCTATGGAACCAACTCCCAAGAGAATGTTTCCCTGATCATTACAATCCTAACCTGTTCAAGTCTAGGGTTAACCATTATCTTCCTCTCTTATCCACATAAACTGCATTACTGTAATCCTCTACCTTGCGTGGCCGCTGGGTCTTGTACAAAATGAATCTCACTGTAAAAAACAAAACAAAAAAAAACAAAACACTACTGATCTACTTGACCTTTGATTGCACATTAAATAATTTCTTTTAACAATGTAAGTAAAAGTTATTTACACTATTTACATTGTTCAAACTGTTGTCCTCATCTTTATTGTCATATTCACAACGTTTTGGATGTTGTATGCTCCAGCCTTCTAAGTAACAATTGTTGCAAAATACTCTGACAAGAATTTATAGAACTTAATATGCTCCTTTCATTATGTAACTATTGTGTGCTGTTTCCTGATGAAATAAACATTTATCAAAATAAATAGAGAGAAAAGAAAAATAAAGAGAAACAAATAAGGTGAAAGTCTGAATCATTGAAACAAATCTAAAATTAAGGTTAATATATTTTAATTGAAAATATAATGATTATTAGTAGTAAAGTTTGAAAATTAAATCATAAGCAGTAAAATCATATAAAAAAAAAAAGACACTTCAACCTGTATTGGCGTCTGAATATGTTGTTGAACTTCCTTGTAGAGAAGGAAAAAAAAAACAAAAAAGAATTTATGATTGAAGTTCTAGTGATATATTTAAAAAAGATCAATAAGTGAGGCGACTTGGACTACATATCAAGCAGAAATCAACTCATAATATTCCTCATGTAGTAAACACTAGTTTGCTAACAAAGAGACATTTTTGTTTTATTTTCTTCATCAAAAGTTAATGTTAAAATTGAGAATAAACAAAAAATAATTTTCAACTAAAATTGATAGTCCAATACATTTGCCAAAACTTACTAATCAGATTTCACTTTCAGTTATATATCAATATAAGAAACACATTTCTAGCTTAAATTTACTTAAATTATAACTTACAACTGGAGTCATCATTATGAAATATATAAAATATTTACAGTGGCTATAATTCATTGGATAAGTATATAAAAAAAATGTTATTGTTATGAATATTTTTTAATCAGATGAAGAAACACATTTTTATAAATACTTTAAACAATGATCATTTGAAAATTATACAATAGTTATAAAAAGTCTCCAAACCTATAAGGCAAGTTTAGAAAAAGAGATAAACTAATAAAATTAGTATCAAAATGAAGGAAATTTATTTCTCTTTAAAATTATGAGTGTTGATTGATAAATAGTCTCCAATCTTATAAAATAAGTTTTAGACCAGATAGAATAATGAGACTGGTATCGAAATGAAGGAAAATTATTCCTCTTCAAATAAGTTTCTTTTTTTTTTTTTTTTTTTTAATACTGTCCCTATATAGTGCTACAAATTTTTCAAATGTTTTTCTCCATTTTCATTCCATATATGTAGAAAGTTTCTGGTCAACTCTTATTCAACTGCTCATAACAACATAGACTTCAGCATCACATAAAATATGTTGACCTTTTAATGAGTTTCAATTTCAGGACATCCTGCCAGAAATATAATGGTACCAAATCGAAGCTGTATAAAATAAGTAAGCTGGCTGCTCACATCTGAGTATACCTGTTTGCTAGGGATGGCAAGCCAATCCCAATTGCAGAAACCTGCTCAGACACATTTGTATTTCTCCAACACCCACAGAGCCAGCCTGTAATTTATACTGCAACTATGCTGAGCAGACCTTAGTTACAGTTCCTAGAAGAGAGTGCACAATCTGACATGATTAAAAATTTTGAACAAAGCCTCATTTATGATGACTTATGACTTCATGCTATCCAAACCATCTATGGATTTCAAGCAGTTCCATCTACCCAATTTCACTTACAAGACTCAGGTCAACTCATGGCATGATAGTTTTCAGGTACTTCCCAACAGTGCCACAAACTAGGATCGTCTCTACATGCCGATATTATGAAAAAGTTAGTCACCTCTTTGACAAATCATACATAATGAGATTCAAACAGTAGGTCTTAGGATCAGAACGCTAATGTTCTAACCACTCAGTCATGTGCCCATTGCGTTGCATAGAGTAACAAGTGGGAATTTCAGACCTGCATCATTTTTTATTACAATGCAGTCTTGTGTTGGATGAACGTTTTGGTGCAATGGATATTGGCCTGGAATGATTAGTTTGGTTTCGTTTACGGCATATCAACCTCAATGGGATATTTAATGCCGACAAAATTTTTACTGTTGGTAATTTTTTTTTTTTTTTTAAATTTTTGGTAATATTTTTTCATTCAAAAACATCTATTTCTGGTAATATTTTTCCTACAAAAAACCTATTTCTGGTAATATTTTTTCTTCAAATATGTATCACTGGTAATTTTTTTTTTTTTTGTATTGTTGGCAATAATTATTTCTTCAAAAATTTATTGCTGGTAATATTTTTTTTTTTTTTTTTCCCGAAATGTATTTCTGGTAATATTTTTTTCTTCAAAAATATATTTCCAGGAATATTTTTCCTTCAAAATATGTATAGCTGGTAATATTCTTTTCACAAAAATGTATAGCTGTTTGTATTACTGGTATTTATTTATTTATTTATTTTTTTTTTTTTTTTAAAGTATTGTTGTTCATTTTTCTTTAAAAATTATTGCTGGTAATAATTTTTTTTTTACAAAGTATTTCTGGTATTAAAACCTATTTTTACACTTTCATAGTATTTTGACCCAAGTTTGGGTGTTAACTATTTGCCCATAGCTGGGACTCTAACAGGTGCTCCCACTCCAGGTGGATGTGGGAACACCAGCAATAATTAAGAAGTGGTTCCATGCTTCTCAAAACCTCCAGATCAGAGGCCTTGCTGTCAGATGTAGTTTATTGTCTTGGGGCTTGGAATGAGAAATCAGTCTGAGTCCTATAGCCTTGCTTGGCAACCAGTCTACCACTAAAAGAAATAGCAACCTACTGTTGTGAAAATCTTTTGCCTAGTCAGTCATGAATCAAAAGAAATATGATCACCCAACCATGTATCAAATATAAGAGAGAATTGGCAATATCCTCACTGAATTTCCCTTGGCCAGCTTTCAAATAGGCAGTGACTTTAATGTTCACCACAAAAAAAGTGGTTAGTCCACTCCAACAGAACCAATGAGGAAGGCAGATATTGCAGAGATTTCTCCATCACCTACGGACTAACCCAGATCATTCAAGAACCCACCCAAATCATGGATGCAACAGGATAGCAGGTGAACTTCTTCAACCTTTTTCTAACATCCTGCCCTGACAAATGCTCAACAAAAGTTTTACTCCTCACTGGCACGTAAGACCATTCTCTAGTCAGTGTCCAGATTGACTCCAAACCAATGAGCATCCCCAGATTTACCGTTCCATAGAGTGTTTTTTTCTTTTTTTTTTTGCTATGTGAAGGAAGACTGGGACAGCTTTTGGTTCCTATATGATGGAAGCTCTTCTCCCAAGCATCTTCAAACATGCTGCCTTAGTCTCCAAATAGATCCTTTTATGGAATTGAGTGTTTTATAACCCCCCCATTCCAGCAGAAACCAAACAATCAGCCCTGGCTTACTCCTGAATGTGCTACAGCCATCGCTCATCAGAATCACTACTTCAAAATCTATCACAAACACTGGTGTAGTCTGGCCCTTACTACTTTTCAGAACTGCCCAAAATTACTGTAAGAGAGTTCTGGAAATCAGAAAGTGCAGCTATACACGAGCTGTCCAGGCCAAGGTTGAAAAGAAACAAATTGGATTTTGTGAATTCTAGAAGATCACCAACCAGATTATGAACAGAGGCAAAGCTTATCTCAAACTCAACATTAGATGACAAAGGCCATCACCTCCTCAACTTCCCATATCTCACTGAGCACAATCTCAATAATATACTCATTTCAGTAAGAGAAGTCTCTAGACTTATCAAAAGCCTCGACCCAAAAAAAGCCACAATACCAGACAAAATTCCAGGTCTTCCTTAAAGAATTCAACCCAGAATTATCCTTGATCCTAGCAAAGTTATTTAACTGCTGCTTCAAGGACAAATTTTTTTCAAGCCTGTGGAAGGTGGCAAGTGTATGCCTGGTCTTCAAGAACGTGGGTGACTGATCCTTCACCTCCTGATATAGACCCATTAGCCTCCTTAGTAAGCTTTGAGGCCTTTATTAACGAGAAGCTTGTCGAGCAGGATGGGTTTCAATCAGCCCGGTCTACTGCTGATGTCCTAACTACCATTACATACAGAATTGAGTGAGTGAGGCTCTTGATGACATACACACCCCAAGGATCATAGCATTAAATATCTCAAAGGCCTTCGACAAGGTGCGGCATACAGGTTTGCTACATAAGCTCTCTAGCTATGGAATTACTGGAAGGGTTTTCTCTATTACAATATCCTTCCTAACAGGTAGATCTCTGAAGGTAGATGTTAACGGCCAGTCCTCCAAGGCCCTGGTAGTCAACACAGGCTTCCCCTAGGGGTCATTTCTTGGACCAACCCTCTTTCTGACATACATAAATGATTTACCTAAGAATATACTCTGATCATTTGTAAATATCTATGCCAATGATACCATGATATACTGGTGCACATAACAATCTAACACTAACTTCTCAGTGGGGGGGGGGACTGGGTGGTTACATTTAATGCATTGAAAACCAAACTGGTTATATTCCCTCACTGCTGATCAGACCCCAAACTATTGCCACTCACGATGAACAGATGTCCCTTCAAGGAGGCACCATGCTTTGGAACTCCTATATATGATCTATTGCTAAAGATGCAAATAAAATGATTGGCTCTCTGTACCACTCTAATAAGTACCTGACTCCTCATGCTATCCTTTAACTTTATAAGAGCCAGATCAGGCCGAAAATGAAGTACTGTTGTCATATTTGGGTGGGAACTGCCAAAACCTCATTTTCTAGTCTTGATAGAGTTCAAAAGACTAATCAAGCCCTTGTTGGATAAGAATTATTTTCCACCTTACAAACCTCCCTCTCACAGGTGGGATGTGGTGAGTCTATCACTACTTCCATGGAAAGTGTTCACACTACATTTCTTGGTTCTGCCAGATCTAATCTTCACAACTAGGACCCGCCTTGCCACTTACATAGTAGCAAACTACACACATTCCCTCTGTATTCCATCAGTGGGAAATAAGTTTCCTTCAAACAGCTTCTTCCTCTAAACCATTACTCTGTGGTACAGACTCCCAAGAGGATGTTTTCCCAATGACAACCATCTTAACCAGTTGAAATCTAAAATTAACTGACATCTTCCCTTTCTATCAATATAAACTACCCTTTAATATAACCCTCTACCTTGAGTGGCCCCCGGGCCTTGTACAGGGCAAACCCTACTGATATTGGCTCCTGAAAAATTAATTTCAGTTGAGCTCTCTGGGGAGGTGTGGATTTGTAAACAGTGACTATTATAGCTAATATAGTGAGACTCTTCGCAAAAAGCGAATTGAGTCACTGTCGGTCACTGGGCGTATTTCTAAAAATAAATACGCTAAAATCCACCTTCATCCCTGCCGTACGCCAACTGCTTAGTGGTAGAATCTCTGACTGACACCAATTCAGTCGGGTTTCAATCCTAGCTAAAGGCAACCGGATGTCTAGCCACACTGATGAGCTGTGAAACAGCAAAACAGTATGTCTGTGGATGACGTTATATATATATATATATATATATATAGGTACCTCTATGAAATCACTAAAAAAGAGCATAACATGATGAAAAAGACGCCAAACTTGATGAAAACAAAATTTTATCATCTAAACGTTTAAGAGAAAAGATCAAAGTATTTGGGGGTATTTTTTTAACATTTTTTAATCGTTCCTAGCATGTCCAAAATTGAAATGAAAATCTCAGTTTGAAATTTCTTTTAAAAATCAATTATTTTTTCAAAACTTATTTTAAGAAAATCAGAAATTATAATGTTTATTTAAAATATTTTGAAACCAGCATTATTTAGTTTCTGCACCAAAAAGGTGTAGTTTGAAAATTAAACAAAGCAGGTCATAACATTTTGCATCACTTGACAGGTGATGAATGACGTATTGACGGATTACGTGAGGATAATTTGTTCTACAGAAAGAGAGAAGTGAAATTATTTAGATTTAAGTGAACAAATTATTTACCTCATTATTTTTAAGGAAAACTATTGTAATCACTAAACTGTATTTGATCAAATTTCTCAAGTTTTCAGAAAATTGGTTGGGGGTAATAAATATGAAAAAAAAATTTTTCTGTCATGACTTTAAGAAAAAAAACAAAAAAAACAACATATTTATAATAATTTCCATCATCTATGAATAGTTTCTGAAAGTTTCATCAACATCTGACAATTATTTCTATTTTTGCAAGATTTTCCAAATTAATGTCTGTTATACAAAAAAAAAAAAAAAAAAAAAAAAAATGCTAAAAATTGTATATGTTACTAGTTCCAGTGATACAAAGAGAAACAAGGTTTTTTTTAATCAAAATTTAAAATGTTTTAAAAAGAAGAAAAATTTTTTAAAATAATTAAAAAAAACTTTGGTCTTTCCTCTTAATAACAAACATTTAAATGATAAAATTTTGTTTTCGTCAAGTTTGGCATCTTTTTCATTGTCTTGTTTGTAAAAACAGTTTGCTTGTGTGTGTGTGTGTGTGTGTAAGTATTATTTACAACTTTGTGTATATAAAAATCCAAGCAGATTTCGACATCAAATATTTGTGCAAAAATTTAGGCACCCAAATATATGGTAGCTTTTTTTTTTCCCACTTCCTTTTTAGACGGGGGGGCTTTCTGTCAATACTCCTTATAATAATAATTAACTATCCAAGAGTTATCATATTAGCTAAAAAAAAAAAAAAAAAAATTTAAGAATTTTTTTTTCTTGTTTGTTCAATTAACATCTTCATTGGTTTTGCTCAATGGATAAAATTTAGCAACTGAATAACAGAAGGGATTCATGCATAATGGGATCTACAAGATTTGGTAAGTATCTTTAATCAAATATGTTTCAATTGTTAAGCATTCTAAGGCTAATCATATGCTTTTTAATACATTTTAATTGTATATTTTTTAATCACAAACGTTTATTCCCTATAAAAATTCAAGGATTTCTTTCAAAGGTTCTCCCAACAAGCAATTTAACAAAAACTAATAAAAAACATTGTTAAAAAAATACGAAAAAAGCAACAAAAAAAATTGAAGAAAAATAAAAATGGTGCCATTAATGTCTTCAGCATCAAGCAGAAACTTGAATAGTCATTAAACTCAAAAATGCTGCTAAAACAACAGAATTCATCACTTGACAAACCAAACAAAATAATAAAGTACTGATAACCACAGTAAAACTCTGAAATGCTTTTACATACAATAATTTCAAAGTCCAAAATATTTTACTATTTTGTTCTTACATTTTAGGTACCAAACAGAAGCAAATACTATTTCTACATGTGAGAATTAAATGCACAAAGGTTGTATAAATTTTTGATGGTACTTACTCTTTAAAAGGTGACAGCCCAATTGGAGATGTGGATGGTATTGAGGTCTTGGAAAGTGTAATGGCCGTTCCAATTGCTCTCACAACAATTCCAGATTCTCCTTCCAAGTCAAAACATTGACGATAACTGCAAGATAATCAGTTGTTAAACATTTTTGCAGAGAAAAGTCACAAGTGAAAAATCTGATTCAGAATTGTGTGTTGAGACACTTAAGAGTACTGTGTATAACTAGGCCAAATTCATACATCACTTCCAAATTATGTTGATTTGGTACTACTAGTATATAATTAGCATACACAATTTAGATATTACCCTAATGAAATTAGGGCAAATAATCTTTTAATGTATAACACCTAGCTTATATTAAACAAGAAAAACACAATATTAAGAGAAAAAATATTTGGCAGTGTTTAACCTTTATGCCTGCAAAAAACAATGTGTGAAAAGAATGATTATTCCCTTGATGCTGCTATTACTCTATACAGTTTTGACTCCCTCATCAATGTTTGTTTTTAAAAAGCAATGATTAGAATTTTAATAAAACCTAAACATCTGAAAGTGGATTTATAGATTTTCTTTATTCTTAATAAATAAAATAGTGTTTAAAATTTTTGTTACTTTTTCTAACAAAAATTTTAAACACTATTTTATTTATTTATTGGACTGAATAAAAAATTTGTTTTCATAGTTATTTGTAAAATGGTAAATAATAAATATTGCATAGAATGGTTTACATAATTTGATAATTTTGTGAGTTTTTAATAAATTTTTTGAAAAAAAAATTTCTTTTCAAATTTAATTCTTTATAAAATAGTAAATAAATCTTTAGAAAAGGTAAATAATAAATATCGCATTGTACTTGGTTCAGATATTTTTATAATCTTTTAGATAATCATTGTCAAAGGTGTTAAAAGTGTACACAGTAATAGTGGTGTCAAGGGAATAATCATCCTTTTTTTTTTTTTTTTTTTCACACCGTTTTTCTTTGTAAGCATAAAGAATAAATTATTTATATCATTATTCAGGCTGTTGAACTGAACTCTTTATTTAGTCCACAGGAGTAGATTGTTCTAATTCTGCATACCATGGCTTCAGATGTCTCAGTTTTAGTTAATTCCCCTTGATAACTCCCTGGCCTCAGCAGAGAGAACAAAACTTGGAGAGTTTTGTTCTCTCTGCTGAGGCCAGGGATTGAACTTAATGGAATCCTCCATATTTGCTACTCCCCCTTGCGGAAAAATGCACTTTTCTCCCAAACCAACTTTAACCAATCATTACTTCTCATTGGTTAAATGGACCCAAAAAATGTGGCAAGTTGCGACAAATCTGTTTTCCTGCTCACCTATCTGGAGCCGATTTGAAACCCCCCAAAAAATCAATAAATAGGATCGCTTCACTTTATTCAGGCAGTCATTAACTAAGTCTTTGAGAGATGCCAACAAACTCCACACGCGCCAGCACACTGACTCAACAACCGCCACACTCTCTCTCTCTCAGCAGCTCAACACAACTCAGAAAGTCTTGCCGCGCGAATTGACCCAACTTACAATTTACTAGAAAAAGTGATATTATCACTACTGAAGTATTAATTGTATTTAGTCAACTTACATCATATCAGTCGAAGGCACATAACTCCTTATGACTTTAAACAATATTTACAATTGTCACACACATAAACATTAATATTTGGACCCACACAAGTGACATTTCACCTTGCAGAAAGCAAACTGTTTTAATTTCATAGACAAACCTTAACTACAAATTTTCATACACCAAATCACTGCATGGTCACTCCTTACAATTTTATCTCACTTATCACATTGAACAAGCAATCTTAAAATTCACTTGTGTATATCAAACGTATATAAATGCATGTTATTTGTTGAAATCTATAACTAGGTTGTTTCTCCTTGATTTCTTTCAATTGAATTGCCTTCAAATGTTTGTTTATTTTATTTGTTGTGGATGAATGTTTAACGAACACGCACATTTTTAAGCCTTCACACAATTACACCTTATGATACATTAGTCTTTGGGTCAAGTCACTTTTTGAATAAATCAACCAATGCTTTCATCAGCTGGGCCATGTGTAGTTGGGGAATTATCAAGGGGAATTAACCACTGAAGGGAGAAGACTATTGAATGAGGGGTGTAAGAGGTGGTAGAAAGTGAAGAGGATAAGGAGGATAGTGACTGACACCAGACTTCAAAAAGATTAAGATTGAAGTGCTCAGAGAAGTATACATGTGGAAGTCTGTTTATAAATTAGCAGTTCTTGATGAAAATCTGGCTGAGTGAAGCTTTCTCAATCGGAATATGGAGGAAGTGTGCACTATTAGGTACTGAGTACTCACCCAATTATTGAATTTCCACCCAGCTCCAAAACTTTCAAGCCTATTTTCCGTTGTAACTCTCCTGGAGAAAAAGAAAAGATAGACAATATTTAAAAAAAAACTATTAAATGAAATAAAATACAAACTAAAAAACAAAATATATATATATATATATATATATATATATATATATATATATATATACACACACACATACATATATATATATATTAGTTCAAAAGTTTGATGCCACCCTGGTAATTTTTTTACATTGGTCCAAAAAGTAGTTGCTTTGTACTTTAAATAAGAGAAAATTATTATACATGGTTAAAGAAAGTGAGACATAATTTTTTATTAGAAATTTCATTATGACAAAAAGAAAAAAAAAAAGCATTTTATGATTAAATTTTGCTCTTGTCAAAATATCTTCCTTTAGCCTTGATTACTGCAGCACAAATTTTTGCCATACATTGCAAAAGTTTCTCAAAGTATAAGTTTGATAATTGATTTCATTCTTTTTTCAATGACTCTAAGAGCTCTTTTTCAATTTTTCTTTCACTCTTCTCTCAAGTTCCATGCTAATTCATGGCGGTGGCTTCAAACTTTTGAACTGTAGTGTATATATGGAACCTTGATGAACTGTGAAATTCTTTGTAGCCAAGTAGTAAAGCATGCTGGATCAAACAGTGGTTTCTCCTACAAATGGAGACTACCAAAGAGCACATTTTCTTTATTAAGATTTCTTGAATATGTAGACCAACAGCTGTAATACACAGTATTTAAAGTAAAAATAAAAATGGGGTGTCTATTTCAAATATGATTATCCACCATAATAATGTTTGAATAAAAATGTCTGATTAAATTGAAAAGTATAGACAATCTATGAGTATTAAATTTAACTATCTTTTCTAAATTGTGAACAATAACCTGCAAACTTTTTATGGTTACAATCATGTGTGAGGACATTTTTCTTTTTTTTTATGCACATTGGGGAATTATATATATATATATATATATATATATATATATACACACACACACACACACACACTGAGTGTAAAAGCAAAATTGTCCAAATCAAGTTACAACATAATTATCCATCCCACAAAATATTTAATATCTAAAAAAACTACTAAACTAATTGAGTTTCTTCTTTCCAAGTTTTCAGATGTTTAGCCATTTTGATACCATTTGTCATAAGAATCACTGAAAAACCCCTCCGAGTTATTAAGCTAATATTTTTCAAAGTACACTTATTAACAATGTCAGAAGTTGAATGTAAATAACCCAAGAATAAGAGGGAAGGTTAATAGATTTCAAGAAAATTAAATGTTTTATTTGAAGTAACATTTAAATCAAGGAGACCAAATGTGAGAAATTGGTTCCATATCAAGCAAAAATTTGATTTTTTCCCTCTTTTGAGATTTGCCTCTTGATGAAATAATCCATAAGAAAAAAGCAGTTTATTAAATCTGAAAATGTCAACTTGTTCTAAGGCTAAAAAGGCAATTTGCAAATTTTCAGTTTTAAAAAACAGTTTTTCAAAAACCATTTGTCATTTAGTGAACTGTGAATTCATCATAATATAAATGTAACCTCAAAATAGAAAAACAATGTAAATTAAAACAAAATTATATTTTAAAATGTTCCCTAAATACAAGGCCCAAGACCCACTAAAGGTAGAGGGTTACTGAATCAGATAAGAACATAAGAGGATGGATTGTTTTTTTATGATTTATCAACCTCTTGCAGGTTATTTAAAGTTGTGTAAGTGAATATAAGGAATCTGAATGGAATTGGAACTCAGCTCTCCAAGTTCACCCTCTCTAACTTTGTTGACATGCTGCTTTATCACTCAATAATAATAACTATTATTATTATTAGAAATACACATGAACATTTCATAGTTTTGATGTTTGAATTTTCTGATGAATCTTAAGTTAATGATTGAATATGATTTTATGACTATAAAATACCAGTGGAAATTCTCTATTGCATCATTAAATATTTCAGCTTAACAACCTCAATATTGCAATAACAATCAAAAATATGAATGCAGGTCATTATTTAAAGAGGGTACAAATTAAGATTTAAAATTGGCAAATTTTTCCATTTCACTGAAGCAGACGTTAAATTATTATTGCTTCCTCAATCTTCCCTCCCTTCCTTTTTCTCACTGAAACCAAACAGTGTCTCCGATATGTCTTTTTTGTTTTGACATCAAGGAAAAACAGAAAAGTTTATTTATCTAAGGTATTGGCAGGTCATAATGTACATGATAAGAAATGAAAGAACAATCAGAATTCTATGATAACAATAATATATACCATATTTTCTTGTGTATGACCCCATGTTTCTGAAGCTAAAAACAGAGGAATGAATTATATTCTTGAGTATAATATAGCTCCATAGTACAGCTATCTCTATGCAAATCTTATTTTTTAAAGTTGTACCATATTAAAATCTTAGTGCCATACATACATTTCATTAAAATATTTAATTTTGCATGATATTAAAGAATAGAAATGAACTAGATGTTTGGCCATTGCATGTTTCTTATCCTAATTTCTGTTTCAAAACTTAATTTTGCATTTTTTGGGAAAGGTGCTAACTCGACATACCTGGTAAAACATTTTAAGGTGTTAATTAATCTATCAAACTTTTCTGTTTGATATGACTTTATTATATTTCAATAAACTATGAAAAAATAAATATTGTCTTTCATTAAAAATGAAAAGAGAAATTTTTTTTAAAAACAAGAAAATCAAAATATAAACAAATTTATGAGCAAAATTGTGTAATTGCAATCTTAATTTTTTTAAATAAGAGGTTTAAGTAAAAATTTCTGAAAATGTGTATTTGCGTATAATACAATCTCCACCTTTTTTACCTTTAATTTTTGTTCAAAATTTCTCATATTATGCACAAGAAAATAGGTAGGTATTGCCAAGAACACTAATTGAAAATAAGTAAAAGAAAACAAATACAAGTTATTTAAAACTTACCAGTTAATTTGGAAAATAATCTTTGTCGTGCTTCATTTGATGCCCTTGACGTCCGTAGTTTATCAATCCACTGATATTCTGGATCATCATTCACGACAAGTTCTTCTACAAATCCATGCAGACTCTGAAGCTGGTAATTTTCAGGAACTGTTGGTGCTAAAAAATTATAAATGGAGACTTATAAACTTTGCTATAGACTTAAAAAGAATTGACTTTTGTTTTAGCAAGTTTTTAATCTCATTCTTTTAAGCTGAGGATAGGGGTGTAAGTAGCTTGGAATGAGAAATTGGAAAGCTGAGTTCAGATTCTAGTCAGGTTTGTTACATTCACTTACATGCTTGAAAAGGTATGAATCCACTTCTCCCCATCTATGGGCTAAATAGTAAAACATATCTAGAAAATTATTGTTATTCTCAAAAAATTGTTAATGCAATATTCTCTTGCAAGAAAAAAAAAATAAAGTTATTTTTAAAATTCAAAATGGTTTGGCTTTAAATAACCCATAAAGGGTTAATAAGCTGTAAAAAATTAATCACTCAATCTCTTAAGTTGTGTAAATTTCTTAGAAAGAGAATTGCAATGATTGTTAATTTTTAATATTTTTTCTTTCAGTTTTGTTGTATCAACTAGTAGTAAATGATGTTAAAGCTATCTAATATTTTTTAAGATACAGCATTATCAACAACTTTGTGAGCTTTACAAAGGCTGACAAATTTGTGCAATGTGCTTGTATAAAAAATGTTGCATGAAGCTTGGTAAATCTGCTACTGAGAACCTTGAAATTAGTTTATATACTTCTAGTAAATATTCTTCAGGCCAAACACAGATTTTGGAGTGGTGTGGACATTTCAAGTTTAGCCAAAGATGAGTAATAGTTCAAGATGATAAAGTATTAAGAGTGACAAATCACTATAAAGTTTGTGAACTTAGCAATTGCAACTGTCATCAAACAAGCCATCAGTTCTCACAAGATTGGGATTAAATATGGAATCTGCTATGAGCTCCTAGTCCAGGAAATTTATATTACCACTTCATGCAACATAAGCTACATTGTAAGTACATCAAAATTCCTCAAGACTGCTAGAGAATTCATGACCGAAAATAGAAGCTTAAAGAAATGCCAGTTTCACCAAGAAATGGTGCTGTCAAACAACTATAAAAACAGGACACTTCCTGTCTTCTATCCCTTTTTCTTCTATAATGTGGTAGAAGTGACACTATCAGGACATTGTTTGCAGATATGGGGATATCTTTCCTGCAAGTGACACCCACATAACTGCTGACTTTTAATGTCTCCTTTCTTTTGCATACTAGCATATTTTCTCTTCTTAGTTACTCAGTTATATAAAAACAAAAACATAAAATATTGCCTCACTGAAATTTGTTCCATTTCTTTACACATGAGCAAATTTTTGTTTGCTACAACTTTTAGTCTAAGAGCAGTGTCACAACAATATTTAAGACTTTCACTGCTAAATTGTTATATCATTGTCGCATGACTGTGCTGTCCCATTTTTGGAAAAATAGTGAATTGCCATTTACTGTGGGTCTTTTGGGTTACTGTGTTGGCAAAGCCAAGTGGGGGGTAACCCAAAAGGTGGCGCAGTTAAACAGCTATAAAAACAGGATACTCCAGTTTTCTTTCTCTTTTATCTCTAGCATGTGGTTTAAGTAGAATCAGCCTGATCATAGTATCAGGATATGTTTTCCCCGGGTGACTGGACTGAACTTACACACATACACACTTCATAATTGCTAACATTTAACGTGTTCTTTCATTTACATGCATACTCATGTATTTTCTCCTTTGTTATTCAGTCATATAAAAAATGCATGAAAATATCGCCTTCTTGAAATTTATTCTATTTCCTTGCACCTCTACAAACAATGATGAATATTCAATTCCCTGTATAAATTATGGTTGCCACTATTTTTAGTCAAACTAAGAGAGTGTTGCAACAGTTTGGCAACCACGGTGCGGTTTCAATGTGATGCACCTACTGAAACAATACTTACAACAAAAAAGTTGAACTCCACAAGATGACTGACGAAATCTATTAAAGTCGCTGAACAAGTCAACTTTGACAATGAAATTTAGCTCTCCTCGAATACCTGAAATAAAATTAAAAGAAAAACTGAAGTCAAATCTTAATTGACAAAATAAAAAAAAAAAATAGGTGTGGAAGAATACAGAAAAGCAACATTCAATGGATAAAGTGAAATCTTACCTCGCATCGTATCATAAATTGGAAACCATCCATTGATCACAGAAGGATTATTCTTGATCAACAATGGATTCAAATCGATATAAACTTTTCCAATGGAGTCATGGGCACTGTATGTATCATAGTCCAGAACCCTGTTAAGGAAAATTATGACAACTTTTATCATCTCTACTGCTTATATCTAGAATATTTTAAATAAAAAAAAAAATAAAAAAAACTCACAAAATATACATTAATCTTGAAATTCAGAAATATTGGGCTGGGACAAAAATTTGTGTCATTTCACAATAGGTGGTATTTGAAAACATCATTTCGTTCCACATGTGATTAAAATTTATGACATATTCTGAAAGGTGACAGTTTGATGAGTATTTCTATATGATGTGTGTACATATTGTTTAATTTTAAATAGTTTAAATTAAAAATTAAAATGGAAGATAATGAGATACAACAGGTACAATTATTTTTGGTTTGTATATGTGCATATATATAAATTGCTGATACCTCTGAAGAGTGGATGGAGAGGTCTGCCTATGAAACTCAATGTTGTGCTCAGTATCCACTTTTATATTTACATAAGCTCTAGTCCTGATATTGAACACTTTTATCCATAAATATACCATAAAACTATTTTATCATATGTGCACACACACACACACATGTATGTCTGCATATAAAATTTATATTATTAATAAATATATTTTTTCCCTTCACCTGTAGCACAACATGAGTTTCAGGTGCTGATTGAAAACTGATTGTTGCATAATTTAAATATACTTATATTTAAACTATACTGTAATGATAGTGGTGCAGTCAATGAAATTATATATGACATATACCTACACACACCTATATACATGTGTTTCGAGGATGTATAATAGTATCTAAAAACACAATTGAAGATAATGAGACAAAGTGGAAAATTTTTTTTTATCAAAGATGTGTTTCTCCAGAGAAAGCTTAATTTTTTCTTTGGCAACATCAGTTTCATTAAAAGAAAGATAAAACTATGTGTTAGGAGAATATCTTGGTATCTCTGAGGATAAGTTTGTATAATAAATGCCTGGGTGGATGTATATGTAGGCACACATATGTAAGAATGTATGTATGTATGTATGAGTTTATATGTGCGTGTGTACAAAAAAGAAAAAAGTCCCTGGATTAAAATCCAAATATCTAATATAGATATAGATATAGATAAAACAAACAAGCCTAGAGACATACAAATTCTCTTTAAATCTCAAGTCAAGAAATGATAGGCTAGGGTAATTAATGTGATTTATGATACCAACTTATCCTCAAGACATTCTGCCATCACATAGTTTTGCTTTCTTTTAGTCAAACTGATGATACCAAAGAGAACATAACCTTTCTCCAGTGAAACTTGTCTTTGACAAAAAATTTTCCACTTTGTCTCATATATATATATATATATATACACACACACACACACACACACACTTATACCCATACCTATGATTCATGTAATTGTAAATACACACATAAAATAACATACATCTTACTTATTATAAAACGCAGGTTGTGTGTGTGTGTGTGTCTGTAACGTTTATATGTTGGATTGAATTTCCTACATTTTTTAGCCGATTTCAACAAAACTTCACAGGACTACATAAAATTACCTTGTGGTGGTTCTAACGGGGCCGAAAATGGGAAAAATACTGTTGTTTTTTAATAAAATCAATTTGAAAACACGATTAAGACACATCGTGAGAATGAAATGGGGAGAACTCACCCACGAAAATGTAAACAAAAGAGCATAGCATGATGAAAAAACGCCGAACTTGACGAAAACAAAATTTTTATCGTCTAATGTTCATATTATTATTAAAGAGGAAAGATCAAAGTATTTTGGGGGTATTTTTTTTACATTTTTAATCGTTCCTAGCACGTCTGAAATTTTCGTTAAAAATATTGTTTTTTTTTTGTCAAAAAAAAGAGCAGATAATCATTTTCAATCATTTTTTTTCGATTTGATAAAAAAAAAATTTAAAATCTTACTTTGATATTCTTTTAAAAGTCAATTATCATTTTTTCAAAACTGATTTTAATAAAAACAGATATTATACTGTTTATTTAAAATATTTTGAACCAAGCTTAACTTAGCTTCTGCGCTGAAAAATGTAATTTGAAAATAAAACAAAGCAGGTCATAATCTTTCGCGTCCGACGATTGACGAAAGGCACATTCATGACGTTTAGATAACTTACGGGAGGAGAATTCTTTCTACAGATGGAAGGAAGTGAAATTATTTAAGTGAACAAATTATTTTTAAGGAAAACTTTCAGCGCTCTAATTTTTTTTTTTTTTTTTTTGTACTTAGCTTGCATTTTTACGTTTACGATGCTTTATGGAAAATATAAAGAAATTAAAAAGTAAGACTCAAGATTAAATTTCATAAGAAAAAGGTATCTAATTAATTTAGGTACCTTTCTTATGAAATTTTATCAGAAGTGTACATAAAATACTATAATTTTATTACATTTTACTGTGTTATTTGTATTTCCATTCACTTTTATTATTAATTTTGATATTTCATTTATGGAAAAATGTCATAACTGAGATTAATATAAAAATAAGATCATATAAATTAAAGTTTAGCAGTAGTTAAATTTCATAAGATGATACTGTTAGTTGTAGGTACCCTTCTCAGTTGAAATTGAAAACTCAAATTAACTTCTCCATACGTGTTTCGCAAAAAAGTAAAGGGCTTAACAGCGGAGAACAATGCTGAACTCAAATAATGCAACTAAATTGTATTCTGGTTGGTCTTCCGTACTTGATAATTACTGTCCGACTATAAACACAAAATTACATTTCTTAATTACCATGGCTAATCTGATTGGTCCAAATTATACAATTTTCAAAGCGCTAGACAATGACAATCTCACACGGACATTTTGAAAGGTTGATGTTGCTTTTAACTAATGTTAAAATATTTTTAAAATTCAATTTAAACATTTTTAAAAATCTTTTAAAATTAAAGAAATAAGAAATAATTGTATTAAAAATTCAATTTTTCATTGAAATTTTTTGCTTTCAGAAAATATTGTCCATATTCATAAAAACAAATTAAAACAAATAAAAGCATTTGAAACTAAATAATATATTTGTTTTATTGAGTTTTGTATGTTACAATTCACAGCTGATTTTCAGGTACGTTGGCCAAAAAAAAAAAAAAAAATGATTTGCATTCTTCAAAGCCTTGTGCTTTTAACTATTGTAATCACTAAAACCGATGGTCTCGAATTTCTAGAGTTTTTCATAAAATTAATTATGGGGGTGTGAATAAATATAAAAAAAAAAATTTCTGCCATGACTTTAATAAAAAAAAAAAAAATATTTATAATAATTTTGATCATCTGTGAATAGTTTCTGAAAGTTTCAATAACATCTGACAATTATTTTTATTTTTGCAAGATTTTCCAAATTAATGTGTGTAAGTACAAAAAAATGCGCTAAAATTATCTATGTTATTTACTACCCTTGTTGCGACAAAGAGAAACAAGGTTTTTAAATCAAAATTTAGAATATTCTAAAAAGATGGAAAAATTTTTTAAAATAATTAAAAAAAAAATTTAGTCTATCCTCTTCATAAAAAAAAATAAGCATTTTGACGATAAAATTTTGTTTTCATAAACTTAGGCGTCTTTTTTCATCAGACTATGCTCTATGTTTTAGCGATTCCGTGGAGTGACTTAGGTTAAAAACCCAGGTTGTTTATGTGTGTGTGTGTGTGTGTTCCTTTATATATGGGATCGGATTTCTTACATTTTCAGCCGATAAAACAAACATCCACTTTTTTTTTTTTGACAGGTAGTATTTCTTATTGTCTTGCACACTTTTTTCTTTATTTACATTCAGAATGCTTTAAAAATTCCATTTACAAGACAATTGTTTATAATAAAATTCTATTCACCAATCGATAGACTCATAACGATTGTAAACAATGTTTTTGTTTGAATTTGGGTTTGACCAATTAAGTAAAAAAAAAAAAAAAATTAAGACATGCGTGTCCGTCAACCTTAAACAATAATCTTTGTCAATTTTATTTTTCAGTCTTTATGATGGTCGATACTTGATCTATCTCTTACTGTTACATCCCCGGGCAACGCCGGGCTCTACTGCTAGTCCTATATAAAAGAAATGACAAAATATACATACATACACAACACACATTAGTAAAAGAACATACAAACCAATAGGAATATATTTATACATACTAGCAAATATATAATCATATATCTAAATCTGAACATGAAGAAAAAGTAAATAGATTTAGATATATAATAAAAAAAGAAGATATATGGCTTGAATTGAAATAAATCTGGTTTAACATTTTTCAAGAGGTATTTGTTTTTATGTCTACATGAGACCATTAATTCAATTTTTTTTTGTTTAATAAATTAGGGTTATTTATATTTTTTAGAATGGTTAATTTTTCTAGAAGGCAAAGATTATATCTTTTGCCTTTACCATTGTAAGATTTAGTTCTAGCCATTATTTCCCCCACATAATTTTTGGTATAATTCCGCCATCTTTTATTCGCCAGTAATATTTAGAGAGAGCAGTATTATTTCTTGTATTTATCATTACTTAAACTTAGTTTATGATTATAATATTGATTTTTCCAATGTTTCAGTTGGCCCAATGTGAAATTTATTTTCTTTATCAGATTGTATGTTAGCTCAATATACAATATTATTAGTCAAACATTGACTGTTTAAGAGGCAGTTCATATTATTTTGGCAGTTACATTTTTTTCTACTCTTGCTTCATTATAATTGTTCTTTTTGCAAGTTATATAATTATTCAATAATATTGTTACAACAGGATATAGAGTTTTTCTATATTGCTCATTCAGCTGTAGCTAATCTTTGTTAAAAATCTTTATTGTTGAATTTTTTAAATGTTTATCTATTAATTTGAAAAAGATTCTACCAACATTAGTTTTTGCATTGTGGCTATATGTAGAGTTAAACCATAACATGCTACAATGTCTTTTTATACTTTTACCTTCTATGTATTTTTTCCATGTATTCTATACTTTCTTTATGTTTGCTTTAGCTTCATCAAATATTTGCTGGTTGCTGGAGTTGATTGTTAATCTATATTGTATTGATTTATGTCAATGCTTATGCATAAATAGACAGATAATTTGATTTGCTATTTATGTGTGTCTGGTTGTGTAAAGCTTTTATAGATAGGTGAAGAGTTGGTAGAGCAAAGAACTGATCTAGGAGTTCAGCATAGAAATCACCTAACTACTGACCCAGGTGATCAGGCAAAGCCCTGAATAAAACATCTACATATGAGAAACAGGGTTCACATTCTTAGTTCTTGATGTATCATTTGTCTTTCCCAGTTTTTGATGCACACTGAGATCAAGAAATCAAAATGTAACATGGGTTAATCACTGGCTGGTCTTTTGAAAGTTTGGGTGAGGGTTGTGTTTTTAGGTTTACAGAAACAGCTGTAGTAACACTGATGCAAAGGCTGGATTTATTACTGAATTCTGTCCTGATCGTGTAATATTAATGAAGGATTGAGATCTGGTATGCCAGATGAGGACTGAAGAATAGATCAGCCAAAACATTGTATTAACAACAGTAAGTATACAAAGAGATTTGAGTGTCTGAATAATGTCAGATGTGTTAATGACTTTTCTCAAAGTTACAGAGAAAATATTTATATCTATATAAAGAATGGATTTGAGCATTCAAACAATCTTGGAAATGTTAAGGACTCTTCTCAAAATTATTATACAGTTTTTATTATCGATTAGCATTGTAGAGGACTCAGCATACTTCCTGCTCTTCCCTACTGCTGTGACAATAGACTGCTCCTACTTATAAATATGGCAAGTAGCCACATTAGAGTAAAATTTGAGAAGTAGTTGATTTATTCAAGTTTTTCCATTCTATGTACGAGTATTTAATAAACCACTTCTTTGTTTACCCAACTTACAGCCTTCCTAATTCTTGACTATTTTGAACAAAGACAACATTGCAACAGTTAATTCTTACCTAAGTATGAGAGGTTCATCTTGGAGAGCTTCATCTTCAACCTGCAATAGAAAGAGAAATCAGCCATAGAAAATAATAAATTCATTTTTTTTTTTTTAAATAGAAATTACTTTCAAGCAGTGTAATTCTTTAAATTGTCATTCAAAATAAATGATAAAAATTTATATTGGAATTTTTGAGCCAAGGGATCACCATTATTATACACTTTTATATTTGGACTGCTCTTATCTTGGATATTTGAGTTCAAATCTTGTGTTGGGTAGTACAAAAATGTCATATCCTTTGGTTTAATGCAAGAAACAGATGAGCAACTCAAAAACAAACAGGGGAGTATTAACCGACATAAGATCCCTTGCCAGCATGGAAATCATAACAAGAATACTTTTCCCTAATGCAAGGGATTACTGAGTGTAGGAGAATATCTGATTCCCTGGCAGTTTGAGTTCAATCCTTGGGTTGTGTAATGCAGAAAAGTCAGATCCTTTGGTTCAACATAAGAAACGCACAATCAGCCCACAGACAAATAAAATGGTGAGTTTTAACTAGAATTCAAGATACCTTCCCCATAGGCATGGAAAGCAAAATATGAACTATCTCAACCAGTGGGATTTTACCTAGACTAGTAGCCTTCTTAGGGTCAAGGCTTTTGATAAATCTTGAGACTTCCCAGGCTCTGATTGAAATATTGCTAAGATTATGCTCCATAGGAGGTGGAAAGTCAGGAAGGGGATGGCCCTTGTCATCTAACATGGAGTTAGAGGCAATTATCTTTGCAAAGAGCTTTGCCTTATCTGACGAGGATGAGATAATTTCAGAGTCATTTTTCCTAGTAGGCACTGACACTTTGTCTTTATTGAAAATTTAGTTAGTGATTTTTCAGAACTTACAAAATCCAAGTCATTTGCTTTCAAATTTGGCTTGGACTGCTTGTGCATAGATGCACTTTGTATTTTCAAGAGCTCTCTTGCAATGATTGCGGACTGAATTCAGCAATTCTTTGTGATAGATATAACTATAAATACATGTAGCAATACAGATAAAGTAGCTATGTTAATTTAGTTTTACTATGCCCCTTGTAGTGAAAATATAATTACTTTCTCAAATACATATTAAGAATGCATTTACAAAGTTTATTTTTTTAAGTTTTATCTAATGATTATTTACATTCTAACTAAAGTCCTCCTCTTTATTGTTTTTACCATAATGTTGTGGTTAATGTGCCCTCCAGTCTTCCTTAGTTGTCTGCCAATCCAGGTAACCTTCAAGGGATTTTGAATTGAACCTTTTATTTAATCTAAGAGGGTAGATTGTTCTTGTTCCACTGTCCCTATTATAGGATATCTCATTTGGTTCTTAATTTAGACTATTGTCTCTGAGATTCAGCATTGTCCCACAGGACAATAGCCTAGTGGATTAACACATTGGTTTGTGGATTTGGTGACATAGTAATTGTAAGTTCAATCCCTGTGTTGGGTTGTATAGGCTTAGACTGATAATAAATTACATCCAGCAGCAAGAGCTCTGATCAGGAAATTGGAGGTTTTGAGGAGCATGGAACCACCTCTTAATCGCTGTTGTTCCCAGGTCCACCCCGACTTGAGGTGGCAGCACCTATTAGGACCCCAGCTATAGGCAAATAGTGAACCCCCTCCTAATAAAAACACTATGAATGAATAATAATACATTTTAGAGTAAAATTACCAACAATATATTTTATCTGTAGTTGAAGGCATGCAGTTGCATTCAAAATATTTAAATTTCAGCATTAAATAACCCATAGAGATGTTGATATGCTGCTAAACAAAATCAACCAACCAACCAACATGAAAGAACTCTTTCATGACGTTAATCCATATAATTTCTTAAAGAAATTAAATGGTATTCCAAAATAGAACTTTAGCAAAGCTACAACATAAAAGGCATATATCATTGCCTCTAATAGTTATCTCCATACAAACATATTTATGCACAAAAGTTGAGTATTATCTACCATGTACTCAGTTGTGAAAGCAGAATAATATATATTATTTTTATTACTTCAAAGCTCCTAAGAAAATTAAATTTCAGCATTAAATGACCCATAAGTTAAACAAACAGGATTAAACACAGTGGAAATAGAGCAAGCAATAACTAATTTTTTTTTTTTTTACATAATACCCTTTTCATAAATGAATAAGAAGGAGACATTTTATTGAAATACAAAAAGAGGTTTTTGGCATATTTTTTAAGTGATTTTCACAAACATTTCCCATAAATGTAATAGTCAACAAGTAATAGTCTTGCTAGATTAATTACGACTGAATAGTGAATTTGATTCTCACTTGAGCCACATCTAAGCTACACTTACAAAATAATTGAGTGTGTCTTGGTTCAGCTGGTACATAGCTGGAAAGCCAAAAAGGGGTCCATTAATCTCTGAAAGACCCTTAAAAATTATACTTAGATAAATAAATCTCGAACTTCTTTCCTGAGTTTTGTAATCTAACTTAATAAAATAATTGGTTTTAAAAAGAGAAATAACAAATAAAAATTCAATAAAGAAACTAACAATTGCTCAGTCTATGAATGAACAAAGCAGTGTTAAACGGATGTGAAAAGGAGTGGAGGTTGGGAGGGGGGAACCGGTTTTATTTATTCACTATGAAAATTAAATTGTAGTTGTGGATAGTCTCCCTTTATCTCCTGACAATCAATATTTTTAGATCTAGTTCCACTGTTAGTAATTACAGTATGTGCTCTTGTATCAGCCTACTTCATGTATACTGTGACCCATTAATGTTTTGGTGAAAAATCTGATTTTTTTCATATAGCTTGTGTATAACATGACTAGCTTCTGAGTTAGAATCATAGTCAGGCCGGCTGTAGTCAAATATTGCAGTATTAGTATCATTCTCGACATGTTTTATAGCAAATAAATGGTCTTCATTCTTTTTTGTACAAAGCTACCCAAAAATGGTGAGAAAAACTACTTACTGCAAAATATGTGATGCAAAGATTTAGATACCATACTTTTGTTTTCATTTATGCTTGATTACAGTAGCTCCATTTCCCTGGTCATGTCCCCTACATAGCCTAAGCTTTTTCCCTTTTGTCACTACATGAGGAGAAAAACCTCATCTACTATGTAAGCCACTAAAAATCAACAAATACTTTATACAAATGGGGAAATAGATTTTAAAATTTTTTAACCTCTTCAAAAAAGAAAAAAAAAAAAAAGAAAAAAAAAAAAAGAAAAAAGAAGATCCCTGTATAGTGCAACCCCCTATTTCTTGCATAAAAAACTGATCATAAAATCTAGAACAATACTCAAGTATATATGATATACAATGAGAAACTGAAAAGTGCAAATCATCAATAAAAATGCAGAAAAAGTTTTCAGTTAGGTAGTTAAGAGAGAGATCCCTTAATTAATAACTAAATTTTTCATTGAATGATTACATTTTTATTTACATTTTGAATTATATATTTGGCTTGGCTAACAAAACTTTTATCAATTATTGCAAAAGAAATATTCTTAAGGTGTGCCATGAATGCAGAAAGTTTGAAAGTTTTGGTTTGAATGATGCACACATTTTTATATTCCCTTTCTAAAGATTAGATCAGAGCTTTCCAGATTGCTGTTTTGTGATATTTTAGCTTAACTAATTGAGCATTCTTTGATTGAGTTCTCAAGAGTGAGGAGTGATAACCATTAACTCCTAATTTTTTTCTCTCTTTCTCTTCCCTGTCTTTTCTTATTTTCATATCAAACTACTGGGGTGTTTTTCCCCCCACTATTTTATTTTTGTTTTGTTTTTTATTTTTTTTTTTTTAATAATGTCTGTTTGATATGCAATTGTTCTTTATTAAAAAGATTTCCCTACAATTATATCTTTGCCCTAGTTGAAGAACCCTTGATTGAGCAATTCATTCATTTTTTACAGCTTATCAACCCTTTGCAGATTATTTAAAGCCAGAAAATATTTTTAGATTGAAAGTAGTTTTTTTTTTTGTGATAATAATGGCTTAGTGATACAATTATTACTAATTAACCTACAGCTGGATGGGAGAAGAGGTGGATTCATACCTTACCCCAAGGTATTTGTGCATAAGTGAATATAACAAACACAGCTGAAATTGGAACTTGGTTCTTTGATTAAAAATTCTGAGCCATTATCCATTACACCACCCGCACATCCAAGCTTACAGCACCAGATATTCCCAAATGGTCACCCATGAAGGTAGTGTCAATGTCTGACATTACTTAACTTTGGTGATCCTATGAGAACTGGTGTTTCAACATGATGTGGCTGTAAGCCTGGAATATCATTGAAGTGTCTTTATAGAAGGACAAATGACAAAGTGTTTAACTTGCTTCTTGCAAAAATTAACTCTAAAGATATCCTCAGACATAGTTGATGCATCCTTATACACTGTTTACAATGTCAAAAAGGTCACAGATAAGGAAAACAGAATCCAAAGGAAGCTGTTTAGTGATGAGTCATCAGAAATTAGAATTGAAACACAACACCCTCAAGACTCAAATTTTAAAGGACACAACAACATGCATACATAAAATAGCTACTAAGCTAAAAATGGACCCAAAGACCATCAGAACAGCTGTGTATGACAACCTGAACACCAAAGCACCACCTCATGAAGGTCAGGGGGCTGGAAAGGTGCAAAAAAGTACAAGAGTCATAAGCCTACTGACAAGAAAATCATGGTAGATGCTGTTTCAAAACACTTTTGGTACAGCCTGTTATCAACTAGCCAGAGAGCAACTATGTGTGGGCCCAAAAATGTGATCCTAGCCACACAACCAAGGAAGATGTAGAAGTTTCACAATGATAATGTAGCTGATATCTGGCCAGTGGACTTCTGGCCCTTCTCCAGCTCAAGTTCAAACCTGCTAGACTATGCTATGTGCATTATTTTGGAGCAGGACACCAATAAAACCTCCACCAATACCTTCATCAAGGATGAGTATGTCAAGATGTCCAAGGATTTTTGGTTAAGAATTACAGCTTTTCAAGATCATATTGAGGTTGTAATCAAAAATAATGGAAGCTACATTAAATAAATTGTTTTGCGATTATCTATAATTTTTAATAACCTTCTGCATAAGTGAAATTAGAAGGTCACAGAAATGTAACAAATGTTTCAGGATTTATCCTTTTCTTAGCTGAAGATTTTAATGCTCCCAGAAAGTTGGTTGGTGGGTTGATTTTGTTTAATGACATATCAACCTGAAATCTAAATATTTTGAACATAATTTTATGGCTTCAACTAAATATATTTCAAACACAACTGTATGTCTTCAATTACAGATAATATATATATTTGATCATTTTGTTACAAAATGTATTGTTGGTCATTTTACTATAAATAGGTATTGTTGGTAATTTTACTATATAAAAATATATTACTGGTATTTTTGCTATAAAAATCTATTTTTATACTTTCATTAGTAATTTGTTTTTGTTTGAGACTTCACTATTTGCCTATAACTGGGTGCTTAACAGGTGCTACTACTCCAGGTCAAGATGAACATGGGAACAACAGCAATTAAGAGGTGGTTCCATGCTCCTCAAAACCTCCAATCTCCTAATCAGAAGCCTTGATGTAGGGTGTGTTTATCATCATACCCAGGACTCTGCCTGAAAGTAATGTTACTGTCTGCTGCTCACCAAAATCCTTGTAGCCATAGAAAACAATTTTGAAGAGAAAGAAAAGTAAATTATATGAGACTGGATACATCAAGTAAATAAGACTAAACCAATTAGTGCGACATGCACAAAAAACAATTTAAACAAGCAAAAATTCAGTTAGATGAAATATGTCTTGATTGTGAAAACTGCATTTTGGGAGACTGTGTGACATCATCCTAGTTTCAAATTGATGAAAAAATAGCAGAGCCTCATTACCAATGTCTGAGAAGAGAGAGAAAAAAAAAGAAGAAAAGACCTTGCTGCTTCTTTTTATATACAATTTTCATTGGTTCCATGGTAGCCTAACATAATATCTATTTTTGGCCACAGAAATAAGCATGACATGCAGATTTTAATTTCTGCTAGACTTCACGCAAATTTGGCTTCCCATTCTGTGTATTTTGGCCTGGCTAACATAAATACAGTAATGTGTTGCAAAACATCTCATTTTTTAAATGTATATCACCAATCCTGTATACATATAAAAAATGAATTGAGTAGATACACAAAACTAGAAAGGGGTGTAAGACAAAGATCTGTTTTTTCACCATTTTTTTTCAAATTTTACAGTGAGGCTATCCTAAGGGAGCTGGTAACAATATCAGGAATTATTTTTGGTGAGCGTAATTGTAACGATATAAGATATCCAGAGGACACTGTGTTGATGGCAGACACAGAAGGAAAACTATAGGACCTCCTACACAAGGTAATAAAGAAAAACAAGATCAAAGAACTAGCCACCAATTGTAAGAAGACAGAACGTATGGTTGTCAGCAAGTAAAAAAGCCCAAGATGTGTACTACAAATTGGAGATGCCAAGATCAAACAAATACAGAAGTTTAAATGTCTGGGAAATGTTTTAACAGAGGATGGAAAATGTGGCACCAAAGATGCCTTCCAAAAGCTAAGCAAAGTACTAAAAATCAGGAAAACTTCATTATAAACAAATAAAGAACACTGTACTTTTATGTAATATCAATCCTGTTGTATGGCGGTGAATACTGGACAATCTCTTTACAGATGAAGAGAAAACTGGAGGTAACCGAAATGTGGTTCTAAAGAATTCTGAGAATTCCATGGACAGACCATATAAGCAAAAATCAGAACAAAAACAATACTTACAGTATTCAGAATCAAAGAGAAATAGCTGAAATTTCTTTGACACATAACAAGGAAGGAGAGCTTGGAGAATTTGGCACTCTCAGGACATATCCAAAGAAAAAGAGACAGGGGAAGGCAGTGGGCCACCTACCTGAGAAGCTTGTACGAATGGATGGCAGAATGTGGGGTGGGAAGTTGAGGAAAGCAACACACGTTGTTATGGGCTACAATGGGAGGTTGTGGAGAGCATTGAAGGGACACTGCAAATGTGTGGAAAACTTTACCCTAAACTTTTAATGACATAAAACTTGAAGAGAGTTTACATAATAAAAAATAGAAAAAAGAACAAAAAAACCCTACCTCAAACTTGAACCAATCTGAATTCCATTGAGGATTTAAAGATTTTCGATACACATCAGTTTTGGTTACGTCATTCCCAAAACGGACCTACAAATTTAAAAGAAAAGTATTATAATATAGAACCAATTATGATCAACGTTTTAAAAATTAGTGCATTTCCCACAGGATGGTTAGTTAACTTTAGACTTGAAGAATTAACAAAGTTACTCTGTATAAATAAATAAAAAAAAAAAAAAAAGGCCAAATTTTAATGACCAAAGTTTAAATTTAAAGCTGGTTTATAAATACAACCAAAAGCAACTTCTGGGAAGAGCTTTCTTATTTCATTTGAAATAAGAAACATATTGGTCCTGACCTGGTGGCTTGGTTTCAGTTGCTTTCCCACCGCCATAAAGTTGCTTCCCTGTGCCTTTTCTATAAATGGTAATTGTTTGCATGAGCTTTCCTCTATGGTAACTAAATTATATGAATTTAAGTGCAGAACTAAATTGGTAACAAGGTTTCATCATTTTGCCATTGAATTGGCTAGATGTAACCGTAAGTTCTATGCTAACAGTTTCTTTTCTCACACTTCTTGCTTGTAGAAGGAACTCTCTTTCAGCTCCATGCTTTCTAGCCAACTTTGATCTTCAAAAATTTAAATGCAATGTGAATCATTATCTACTGTCTTCCTGGTTACACTTTTACTGTTCTTGCTCCTTCATAATGTTTTCTGCTTTCTAATTCTTTCACACCCAGTAACCACTCATTTAGTGGGTTTACTGTTATGCTTAGGGTGAATATGATTAAAAAAATAAAAAAAGTTTTTTCTTTTTTATAACTCCCCCATACAGTATAGGGTAACTAGGTGCCACTGCTGCAGTTTCTGTAACAAGTAGGTTTTTACAGTAAAGTTGCCAGCCCCATGACCAACAGTTTTGAATTCACAGAACTTTACAGATGGTGTAATGAATAGTGGCTTGTATTAGAAATTTCGATTTTTCATTCCTTTTTTGCCAAATTCAAATTCTAATCAAGAATCATCTCTTCTCCTCCCAGATATGGATTAAATAGTACAAGGTGTGTCTGGAAAAATCATGGTTATCTAAAAAAGATAATGAATTATTCTTAGAATCTAAACATTAAATAATCCACAAAGTGTTGATAAGTCGTAAAAAAAAACAAACAAACAAATCGATCAATCAATTTGAGTTATCCTTCTTCAAGACTAGTTACCAACAAAGGCTAGGGAGCACAGACTGCTTTGCTATTTAACCCATAGATTGAAGAAGAGAAGGATCTATACCTTTTCCAAGGATATTTGTGTTGATAAGTCGTAAAGGGAGCACAGACTGCTTTGCTATTTAACCCATAGATTGAAGAAGAGAAGGATCTATACCTTTTCCAAGGATATTTGTGTTGATAAGTCGTAAAGGGAGCACAGACTGCTTTGCTATTTAACCCATAGATTGAAGAAGAGAAGGATCTATACCTTTTCCAAGGATATTTGTGTTGATAAGTCGTAAAGGACAGACTGCTTTGCTATTTAACCCATAGATTGAAGAAGAGAAGGATCTATACCTTTTCCAAGGATATTTGTGTTGATAAGTTAAAGGGAGCACAGACTGCTTTGCTATTTAACCCATAGATTGAAGAAGAGAAGGATCTATACCTTTTCCAAGGATATTTGTGTTGATAAGTCGTAAAGGACTGCACAGACTGCTTTTTTCTATTTAACCCATAGATTGAAGAAGAGAAGGATCTATACCTTTTCCAAGGATATTTGTGTTGATAAGTCGTAAAGGGAGCACAGACTGCTTTGCTATTTAACCCATAGATTGAAGAAGAGAAGGATCTATACCTTTTCCAAGGATATTTGTGTTGATAAGTCGTAAAGGAGCACAGACTGCTTTGCTATTTAACCCATAGATTGAAGAAGAGAAGGATCTATACCTTTTCCAAGGATATTTGTGTTGATAAGTCGTAAAGGAGCACAGACTGCTTTGCTATTTAACCCATAGATTGAAGAAGAGAAGGATCTATACCTTTTTCCAAGGATATTTGTGTTGATAAGTCAAAGGAGCACAGACTGCTTTGCTATTTAACCCATAGATTGAAGAAGAGAAGGATCTATACCTTTTCCAAGGATATTTGTGTTGATAAGTCGTAAAGGGGGCACAGACTGCTTTGCTATTTAACCCATAGATTGAAGAAGAGAAGGATCTATACCTTTTCCAAGGATATTTGTGTTGATAAGTTACAGACTGCTTTGCTATTTAACCCATAGATTGAAGAAGAGAAGGATCTATACCTTTTCCAAGGATATTTGATATTTGTGTTGATAAGTAGATTAAAGGGAGCACAGACTTTTGCTATTTAACCCATAGATTGAAGAAGAAGGATCTATACCTTTTCCAAGGATATTTGTGTTGATAAGTCGTAAAGGGAGCACAGACTGCTTTGCTATTTAACCCATAGATTGAAGAAGAGAAGGATCTATACCTTTTCCAAGGATATTTGTGTTGATAAGTCGTAAAGGGAGCACAGACTGCTTTGCTATTTAACCCATAGATTGAAGAAGAGAAGGATCTATACCTTTTCCAAGGATATTTTGTTGATAAGTCGTAAAGGGAGCACAGACTGCTTTTATTTAACCCATAGATTGAAGAAGAAGGATCTATACCTTTTCCAAGGATATTTGTGTTGATAAGTCCCACAGACTGCTTTTGCTATTTAACCCATAGATTGAAGAAGAAGGATCTATACCTTTTCCAAGGATATTTGTGTTGATAAGTCGTAAAGGAGCACAGACTGCTTTGCTATTTAACCCATAGATTGAAGAAGAGAAGGATCTATACCTTTTCCAAGGATATTTGTGTTGATAAGTCGTAAAGGAGCACAGACTGCTTTGCTATTTATTTGAAGAAGAGAAGGATCTATATTTTCCAGATTGAAAGAAGAGACAGATCTATTTAACCCATTTTCTATACCTTTTCCAAGGATATTTGTGTTGATAAGTCGTGACTGCTTTTGCTATTTAAACCCCATAGATTGAAGAAGAGAAGGATCTACTGATTGAAGAAGATATTTGTGTTGATAAGTAAGTATTTAAACCCATAGATTGAAGAAGAGAAGGATCTATACCTTTTCCAAGGATATTTGTGTTGATAAGTCGTGAAAGGAGCACAGACTGCTTTGCTATTTAACCCATAGATTGAAGAAGAAGGATCTATACAAGGATATTTTCCAAGGATATTTGTGTTGATAAGTCGTGAAGGAGCACAGACTGCTTTGCTATTTAACCCATAGATTGAAGAAGAGAAGGATCTATACCTTTCCAAGGATATTTGATAAGAAACCCATAGAGAAGACTGATTTAACCCATAGATTGAAGAAGAGAAGGATCTATACTTTTCCAAGGATATTTGTGTTGATAAGTCGAAGGGAGCACAGACTGCTTTGCTATTTAACCCATAGATTGAAGAAGAGAAGATTTATACCTTTCCAAGGATATTTGTGTTGATAAGTCGAAAGGGAGCACAGACTGCTTTGTTATTTAACCCATAGATTGAAGAAGAGAAGGATCTATACCTTTTCCAAGGATATTTGTGTTGATAAGTCGTAAAGGGAGCACAGACTGCTTTGCTATTTAACCCATAGATTGAAGAAGAGAAGGATCTATTTTTCCAAGGATATTTGTTGTATTTATAAGATTGAAGAAGAGAAGGATCTATACCTTTTCCAAGGGAGCACAGACTGCTTTGCTATTTAACCCATAGATTGAAGAAGAGAAGGATCTATACCTTTTCAAGGATATTTGTGTTGATAAGACTGGATTGAAGAAGAAGACTGCTTTCCAAGATATTTGTATTTAACCCATAGATTGAAGAAGAGAAGGATCTATACCTTTTCAAGGATATTTGTGTTGATAAGTCGTGAAGGAGCACAGACTGCTTTGCTATTTAACCCATAGATTGAAGAAGAGAAGGATCTATACCTTTTTGAAGGATATTTTTTTGATAAGTCGAAAAAGGAGCACAGACTGCTTTGCTATTTAACCCATAGATTGAAGAAGAGAAGGATCTATACCTTTTCCAAGGATATTTGTGTTGATAAACCCATAGATTGAAGAAGAAGGATCTATACCTTTTCCAAGGATATTGTGTTGAAAGGGGAAGACAGACTGCTTTGCTATTTAACCCATAGATTGGAAGAAGAGAAGGATCTATACCTTTTCCAAGGATATTTGTGTTGATAAGTTTTTAAAGGGAGCACAGACTGCTTTTGCTATTTAACCCATAGATTGAAGAAGAGAGGATCTATACCTTTTCCAAGGATATTTGTGTTGATAAGTCGTGAAAGGAGCACAGACTGCTTTGCTATTTAACCCATAGATTGAAGAAGAGAAAGGATCTATACCTTTTCCAAGGATATTTGTGTTGATAAGTCGTAAAGGGACAGACTGCTTTTGCTATTTAACCCATAGATTGAAGAAGAAGAGAAGGATCTATACCTTTTCCAAGGATATTTGTGTTATTTAACCCATTTAACCCATAGATTGAAGAAGAGAAGGATGAAGATATTTGTGAGATAAGTGGTAAGGACTGCTTTGCTATTTACCTTTTCCAAGGATATTTGTTTGATAAGTTGCTTTGCTATTTAACCCATAGATTGAAGAAGAGAGGATCTATACCTTTTCCAAGGATATTTGTGTTGATAAGTCGGTTATTTAAGGAGCACAGACTGCTTTGCTATTTAACCCATAGATTGAAGAAGAGAAGGATCTATACCTTTTCCAAGGATATTTGTGTTGATAAGTCGTAAAGGGAGCACAGACTGCTTTGCTATTTAACCCATAGATTGAAGAAGAGAAGGATCTATACCTTTTCCAAGGATATTTAACCCATGTTGATAAGTTTTAAAGGGATAAGTAAAGGGAGCACAGACTGCTTTGCTATTTAACCCATAGATTGAGATCTATAAGATATTTGATAAGAAGGATCTTTGCTATTTAACCCATAGATTGAAGAAGAGAAGGATATTTTTCCAAGGATATTTGTTGATAAGTCGAAAGGGAGCACAGACTGCTTTGCTATTTAACCCATAGA